TTAATGAGGCAAACTATTCCACGGCACACCCACTTTTTCCAACTGAACTGATTCCTCAGATATGTCACATGTACTTGCATTTACTGCTATTACAGCCTTACTGGAGAGGTTCGCAACAAAGTGCATGTAACAAACCAAAGGATCAAAAGCATCAATGTTTTAAATCTACCAGAAAAAAAACTGTCTTCAACTGCATGCACAGAAACATTTTCAAAAACTGTTCAATTTAACTATTTCAACATGTTCATTAGGAATGGATCACAGCAAAATGTAGAGCAGCGTAAATTGCAATTTATTGGATTATTGGGAAACCTGGGCCTGCCAGTGTGTGAAGAGCCTGGGGAGTAATTGACCTACAAAGCTTGCTCCATTGATAAACACCCGCTCCTGTTCCTCTTCAGATATGCTGATGTTGAAAATACTAGCTTGCTGAGGTATACTGTCACAAACTGCAAGAGCACAGTAATAGCACAGTCAGAGATTGTTGAATACTCATGTACCACAGTCAGCTAAAACACAGACAAAGACACCAGTCCAAACTTCAGCTTCATTGTGTAGTTTATCTATCGTGCGACGTATTCCTCTTTCTCTTTCAACATCAGCTTTTGTGTCTTGCCAAAAGCCCAGTTTTGACCTGAATCCTTGAAGTTTATTTGTGATGGTCAGGATTATCTCATTCTTCCCCGACATTTTAGTATTCAGCTTATTCAGATGGCTGGAAGAGTCTGTGAGATATGCCAACTCAGCCTAGCAGTAATCATCAGATAGTAGCTCTCTATAAGGCAGTTTATGCACTGTTGAAAACTCTTGTCAGTTTTCTCAGGAGCTCATAAACATTTGTAAATGGTTAAGGAGAGCATTGCAGTGCTGGAGAAAGACGATGGCATCTATATATAAACCAGGTTTCCAAGCCTTGTCGAAGAGTATGCTGCTTATGCTGCGAAATTCTTGGAAAATGGTGCTGTTTCATGTAAGACTCCCCATGCTGCTCACAGGCAGAAATTCGGTACCACTCATGAATGGAAGATGGGGAATCTGCTTATAATGCAGACTTACTTACTCCTAACTTACGTGGTACCAGTCCAGCATTTGCCAACTTCTCTCTGCAGATGAGTCATTTAAGAAAGGGGCAAGCATCATCTTCTGTTCATGAAAATCTAAAAGGCCAGACAGCTCTCACTGTGCTATCTCTGGACAGTCCTTGCTTTATTTTCTTTGGGTTCAGATGTTTCATCGATTGAATTAACAGACGAATTGCACATTTTGACAAGAAACTTATCCATTTCTTCTCAGAATCTATTCTAAGACTTAGAACAATGGCTGAACTAAAAAATAAATCCAAAAATATTCACTTTAAAGTCTGTGCTAATGTGGAAACTTGTCCAGGCAGACATACTATTTCAATAGTTGTCTAACAATCCTGCCCCTCTTCATTGTGCATTTGTGGTTCCTTCTCATCCCGGGATACAATCCTCGATCATTGTGCATTCTCAAACTGAACATTTGGGTCTCTGCATGCACAAGCAGTCTGCATTATAAGCAGATTCCCCATCTTCCGTGCATGAGTGGTACCGAATTTCTGCCTGTGAGCAGCATAGGGAGTCTTACATGAAGCAGCACCATTTTCCAAGAATTTCGCTGCATAAGCAGCACACTCTTCGACAAGGCTTGAAAACCTGGGCTATATATAGATGCCATCCTCTTTCTCCAGCACTGCAATGCTCTCCTTAACCAACACTGCAATCCCTTCTCCTTTTCTACTTTACCACAACAACTTATACCCAGGAATATTTAACACACAGGTTTGCCCTTCCTTGAGCTGGGAATAACATAATTCCACATGGCAATCTGTGTCGGTAACTGCCCAAACGTATTTGCTATACTCCGTGCATTTACATAGATGCATGTTAAGTCTGTTTCTGACTTCATTTCTTTCTCCCTTAATCCAAATTCACCTACTAAAGTTCCCTATTAACTAAATTCACCAAGAAACTCACCATTCTCATTGCCAGCTGTATTCTTCTCTACAATTCCCTCCTGGTTCCCCTATCACTGACAAATTAGTTTAAAGCCCTCACAATGGCATGAGCAAATCTCCCTGCAAGGAACTCAATTCTGCTCTGTTCAAATACAATCTATCTGACCTGTATAAGGGCTATCTTCCCCAGAGACAGTTCCAGTGTCCAAGGAATCCAATCTCCTCCCTCCTTCATCATCTGTCCAGCCACACATTCATCAGCCTTATCCTCCCATTACTGGATCACCTCTCGAGTCTTGACAGATAACGGATTGCCTCACTGATCCTGCAGTGTTTTTATTTGATACACGAATCCTAAACTGAACCTTTCCTGGGGAAAAAAATGTGTTGATAAACAGTCAAAAAAGGATACATAATTTGTTTCAAGTTTCCCTCAGTAGCACAGATAAATAGTTGTCAGGACTTCTAACCATATTTGCCATGCTTCCCATACTTCTGTACCCTCCCCTTCCCCTTCCTCCTAAAGGTTCCCTTGCTCGAGTTCCCCTTGTTCTCTCCTTCCACCTCAGCAGCATTTGTACTAAATGGATCATTTTCAGCCATTTCCATCACGCCCAGCATGATATCACAACCAAACACATCTCCCCCTATTCTCCCCTTTCAGTAATCCAAAAGGAACGTACCCTCTGAGGTCCACACCTCAGATACCCCCAACAATCCAATCCCTTCCCATGGTACCTTTCCATGAAAACACAGGAACTTAAACATCGACCCTTTTCCTTTTCCCTCTTTACTATCCAAGGCCCCAAATACCTTTCTAGGTGAAGCAGCAATTTACCTGTACTTCTTCCAAGCTGGTGTACTGTATTTGCTGCTCACTATGTGGTCCCCTTACACTGAGGAGACCAAACACATGGCACCTTTTGAGGACACCTCAGTTTTATCTGCAAACATGATCCCAAGCTTCTGGTGGTCTGTCATCTTGCTTCTCCACCTTGTCCTCATGCAGGCATTTCTGCTCTTGGCCTATTGCACTATGCCAGTGAAAAACAATGTTACCTTCAGGAAAAGCACCTCATCTTTCATCTAGGTATCTCATAGCTTTTTGATCTTGGCATTGAGTTGAACAATTTCAGGTTGTTAAATCTGTCCACCATTTTTGTTTCCTATTCTTTTCTCAAATTTGATGAAAGGTAACAGATCTGAAACATTAACTTCTCCATAGATGCTGACAAATCTGCTAGGTTCCTTTTCTTCAGCATTTCCATTTTAATTACAGTTATGGCATTGCAATCTTTTTTTAAATACAAATTCTATTTCTATTTTTGAGGCAGAAATGAACGACTATGGCTTATGAAAAAATTCTCTGATGGGTCTCTTTACTGTCTCTTTTAAAGGTTATACCCTGCTCAATTATTTTACAAAAAATAGCTACTTTTAAATTTGTCTAAGCACATGTCTACAGCCATTCTTTCTATAATCTGAATGTGGAATCTATTTTGTAGCTTTTTTTCCTCGGATATAATAGAGTTTTTTCTATAATTTACAAATAGTACGTAAAAAAATCAATGGGATGGTCATAGCTTGCTAGTTTACATTGGAAGTTGCAGCAATATGTTTATAATTGAATTCCTCTCCGTCGTGAAAATCAGATCACCATGAACATTATGTCAAATGTCAGAAACTGTTTCTTTAAAAAAAAATGAATTCCTTAGAAAGAAAGTCCCTCAAATAACATGGTAATTTCTAAAGCATCCAATAGAGTCCAGAATTTTAAGAATTAATTGTGCCACAATAGAAAGAAACCCCATGTGGTAAGAAGGAAAAAAGGGTCATGAAAAAATTCACTCAACTGAAATATTTGATGGACTGGAAGCAGAAATTAACAAAACAGAAATGAAAAGTAAGTGGAATAGAGCAATTAAACAGTCTGACAAAATATCTGCTCACTGATGCTCATTTTGGGTTAAAACAGGATTACCTAGCTTCAGGCCTCATTAAAACCTTGGTCCAAACATATACAAAAAAAACCACAAGAGTACTGTTGGATCTGAGTTGGAATTTTGCATGCAGTTCTGGATGCCACACTATAGGAAGGGTCTGAATGCATTGGAGAGAATGCAAAAGAGGTTCACAAGACACTCACTTACTAGGAAGGACTACAGGAGTTGGGGCTGTTTTCCTTGGAGGGAAGAAGAGCTAAGAGAAGATTTGACAGAAGTTTCCAGAATAATGAGGGATCTGGACAGAGTAGATATGGAGAAATTTGTTCTTACTTATCAAAGATCAAGAACCAAGGGGCATTGTTTTAAAATGTTTTACAAATGAAGAAAATGAGAGGTAAGGAAAAACTTGTTCACAGAGTGAGTGGTTTGGCGTTAGAATGCAGGTTCAATTGATGCTTTCAAGAGGGCATTAGATGATAATTTCAATGGAAACAATGTGCAGGGTTATGGAGAAAAGGAAGATTGGCACTAAGTTAAGATATTTAGAGAGCCAGTCCAGCCATGGAGGCCGAATGGTTTCATTCTGCACCGTATCAACTCTGTGACAAACAAAGGAGTTAACTCCAGATGTTAGGATCATACTGACTACCCTGGATCTCAGGGCATCATTTGCTTGAGTGTGGCATCCAGAAGTTTTACAAAAATTGAAATCAATGGGAGCCAGTGGGTGGTGGGAGCAAGCTCTGGATTCAAGTCCAGCTCAACTGACGGAGCCTCATTTGCCTGCTGGATGCATGGGTCCTACTGAGATTATTGTATTGGTGAGGTCACAGACCAAGCCTAACATCAACTGACCTCTCAACAAAATTGACAGTTTCATCCAAAAATGTGATAGGAATGGCTAGTGTGGTAACAATAGCTTAATATTGGGTGCTGCAGTGCTTTGAAATTACATGATTCACCTGAATGAACAAAACATGATCACAAGGCTTTTCAAGAAAAATTCTCTACCATGATATTTAGTAATTGTTAAATGATTACTTATTTCTCATATAAATAGAATCATATATATGTACCTTGCAAATCCAGCAGAACAGTCCCGGTGACATCATCTAATCCTTCAATTATTTCACATTTGTAGTTCCCGTAGTCCTCCAATGTTAAATCTGTTATTGTTATGGAGGCATCATTCTCATTTTCTAGAAAAACTCTTCCCTGATAGCTTCCAAAACTTTTCCAGTTATTTCCCAATGAAACAAATACATCAATTTCCTTGAGGTAGTCGGAAGTGAGTTTGGTCCACTTGATCCTGACCTTAAGAGGAGGTTGAACTGCACGCACAGGCACAGGTTTGTAATAGAACTTACAGGGCAGAGTGGCATTGCTACCTCGGAATGAGACAACTTTAGGCTGTTCTATTCTTATGCCTAGTCGTGATCCTTTATCTGCAAAAAGACAAATAATAGATAATTTTAATACAGATGCAGTTGCATTGCCTTTATGTAATCTCTTATATTGCAGAGAACAGCTTAACACTAAAGCTTGATATTGAAATAAAACAACATTGGCAATGTGATGGATGTTGAAGTGGTGTAATAAAGTTTGCTTCAACTCCTCAAATATCATCTCAAAATTGTGTTCAATAATGTTCAAAGCACATTTATTAAAATGGGAAAACTCACTGACTTAAGCAATTTGGTTGCTATAGTACTATTTCTAAAGATTATATAGAATGCCTTTAAAAGTTTCAAGGAATGTTTTTCTTAAATGCATGAATCTAGGTGCTACCTGTAATACTTTGTGAGAATCATAATGTTGTGACTAAGGCATAACTTTCAAAATGATTTCAGAATTATGTGAAAACCAAATTAAATGACTACAAAACCATAGTTCAACATCTTACAGAAGTGAATGGCAATATCCTGTTTTTGGTTCTTAAGATCCCAAATTAGCCATTACTCACAGGAAGCTAATTATGGATATAAAGTAGAGCTATTATGTATAATACAGATGCTTAACAGTCTAAAACAAGTCACTGTGGTCTGTAACTAGCTTATTGCTCACAAATAAAGATATGCTAACTATACTGCTGTAGATTCTCAGATTCTACAAGTTGTTTTTAGTATAAACCAAGACTCACTATGATATCAGTGAAAACTCTAACCTCTTTATCCCAAGCAACCAGCTCTCAATTGCATTGTATCAATCAAATCCTATTTCAATAATCATTCAAGAATACATTCTGCAGGTCACACAGATACAAATAAACAGACAAACATTGCATGAATTGATTCATGCAATTAACTATCCATATGATGAAATTCTACCCTGATTTGCTCTGGTAAGGTGGTATCAAGAACTCTTGGAATTTAAGCAGGAAGAATGGTCATGTTTAGTAACATCAGAAGCCAATCTGAAAAATAAAACATTGCAGAGAACTATTGTAAAAAATATGATTGGAACTAGATAATATTAAGGGGAGGTGGCAGCATAGTGGTAATATCACTGGACTAGTGAACTGCTAATGTTTAATGTAACTGTTGTTACCTGGTTCACGAGTGTCTGCTGGGAAAAAAACCTACAATCCTTACTTGGTCTGGCCTACGTGCGATTTCAGATGTACAGCAATATGGTTGAATCTTACTTGCCCTCTGGATGATTGAGCAAACCATTCAATTCAAGGGTAGTCAGAGATGGGTAAGAAATACAGCCTTACTGCTAACATGCACATCTCATATTAGAATTGATTGTATAACTACTTAGTCACAGGATAGTCAGTTAGAGGCCCACTGAAGTCCATCTAACCAGTTCCAAGATTAAGGTGAAGAAATTGAACAGGCTCTGATTCACAGAGTAGAAGAAACATTTTCAAATAGAGACAAGTAGAGGTCTAACAACAATTAAAAAATTGTAATCTAATCTGAGGAGTTCATACGATGTCAACATCCTTAACAGCAAACAAGTCTAAGAAAAGGTTAGACTATAAAACTTACTAGCGTATCTACTTTATCCTTGACTTTTACAGGTGCCAATAGTTTGTAGTGTACTGCAGTTGCTTAATATATAATGAAGCACCAGCCTAACAGATCATAACAAGTTTCATCACATATATTATCAATTGGTGTTAATCCAAATGAATCAATTCTTCTAATGTATGTGCATTTATTTGTGTCTGATTGACCTTCAGAATACATTTTTCAGTCAGTTTTGAAAAATAATAGAACCTGCTCATTTCCTGAAACTTGCGTAAGTGAGATTATTCAGCAGCTGCAGTCATTCAGGCAGGGGTAAAGTAAATGGTATAAAAAAGCATATCTCTCTCCACTAGGTAAGGGGGCCAGTTGGTTCAAATTGGCTCGATGGCTGGTTTGCAATGAACAGTGATGTCAACAGTATGGTTCAATTTCTGCACCAGCTGAGGTTCCTTCTCAACTTCTACCTTTGCCTGAAGCATTGTGACCCTCTGGTTAAACCATCAGCAACCATCTCTCTCTAATGAGAGAGCAGCATTATTGTCCAGTAGGGCTATGGTAACTTTACCTTGCCTTTAGTTCATGTTGTATTGCTGTACATCAGTAAAGTAATACAGCATTCAACTGAGTGCAGCTTCAAGCAGTTTCAATAAGTAACAAGTTAAAGGGGATCAGGAGAGAATTCACCAGTGGCTAATGTGGTTGTTGGAGACCAATGAATCTTAGGAGGCTGTTACATAAATTTCTCGGTGCAGTTTCCAACCTTAACAACCTTCAAAAATTGTCCTCCTATCATCATAAGGCCAGAAGAGGGACTGTTTGTTGACTATTGTACAGTATTTAACTCCATTTGCACTTTTTCAGGGAATTAGAACATTTGTGCTTGCATACAGTTGGATGTGGATGACATCCATCTTTGTAAGTAACAAGCAACATCTACATACAATGATCTTCTCTGATAAGAGAGAGCTAACTATTGCCCATCAGCACACAATTGCATTAACATCATAGAGTTCTCAACTGTCAATATCCCAGGGATTTGCCTTCGACAAGAAATTAACCTGCACTAATCACATACATGCTATCGCCATTACAGGTAATAAACTAGATATTATTCTGCCAATGGTTCCACTATCTTGCCTTAAGTCTCTCAACCATCTGCAATGCATGAGGAATGTGAGGAAGTATTTTATGCATGACTAATTGGTTGCAGGTAGATCAAAATTCAAGAATCTCAGCAGGATCTAGGACAAAGTATCCCACTCGATATTTATTCTAGTTTAAATGCCCATTTCTCTGCTTCCCGTGTACCATGACTGCAACGTGTGCAGCCTACAACATTCGTGGCAACAGCTTACTAAAGTTTCCTTGGCCTCAGCTCTGAAACCCACAGTCTTCACCACTTAGAAGTAAGTGGTGAGAACACCATGGACTTACAGCTTTCCTTGAAACATGGATTCAAAAATGAATGTATTTATGTGTTCATGAAATGTATTGACCAGAGTGAAGAACATACTTAGGAATATGCCACACATAATGATCAGAGTAATTCTTTCCACATGAATATTTGTGCCAACTGGCAGACACCCACAAAAGATCTACAGTCTAATTATTGCAACAGTTCTTCTTTATATACAAAGTTCTTGATATTCATTTGTTAAAAATTTGAACAGAATTAAAACTTCTCAATCTGGCACAAGTTGCATAAAGCTGTCTATTTGCAAAAGCAGCCCTAAGTTTGTAGATATAAATCTTGCAAAGAATTTGGGCTTGTGATTTGCTATAGTCATAGTAAATGAAAGTCTAATTGGGAAATGTTTTCTTCTTGGTTGAAAAGTCAGATTTATATCTAATGGCCTCAATAACATTTAAGGAGTAACTCTGTTTCCTTGAACTCTATCTGCTATAATTTTAGCATCTATCATCAAAAAAAACCTAGCTTCCTAATGATAAATCTTGTTCCATGAAAAAATCCTGGTTTAAGATTCAAGTTTCAAGGGAACTTTATAATTGCTCCTTCATTCAGTCTAAGTTCATGCATGCCCACATTTCCTAAACATATACTTCATTATTCCTGGATTAAAATCCTGGAACTTTCTATAAGAAAACATTGTGCCTTCACCATATGGACTGTGACAATTCTAGACTGTTTTCTCAGACACAATGAAGATGGAGAAAAAAATGCTCAACCTAGCTCAGCGAATGAACTGAATAAAAATGTTCCACACTTCAAAATTATATAATTTCGATTTGAAATCGAATACAGTCAATCCAAGTCTGGAAGTCCTTGGATTTCTAAAAATATGTATTCTTTTATGGGATGTGGGCATCACTGGGTAGATCAGTATTAATTGCCCATCCCAAACTGCCTTTGAGATTTTTAGCTGGATATTAGTTGGTTTTGAAATGTTACAATTAATTACCTCTTTTGAATTGAGCTTGAATAAACACGAAGTAGTGTTTGTTTACAAATAATGTAAATTGCATTTAAATGTGCTAGCTAAAAACATACTCCAAACAACTGGGATATGAATTAATTAACTGAAATCTTAAATTTATTGTCAACATCTCTAATTATTTCGATCACACCTTAAGTATAATGAATGCAGTCTGTATAAAAGGACCAATGTAATGAAACTTATGTATGTTTTTTGCTTCATTAAAACTATATTTTTATTTAAAGTTTCATGAATTTTACTTATGATTAATTTATGGCTGCATTTATCTTTGTAGATCTTTATATTTTAATTCATTAAAATCTTCTCAGATGTACTTAATTGTAATTAATTAATTTTTATTTATTTCAGAATGTTAAATATATCTGAATTACATATTGTTATTCCCCTGCTTAATCCAACAAATAGTTTCGCTGGATCAAACACTGTCCAAAGTTAAGTCGACAGTTGATAATCCCAATTGCTTACAGATGTTCAATGGTGTTAGTCAAAAAATAGTGTACTAGGTTGAGTGTCTACAATGGCTGTGGTGAAGGCAAGAGTGAACGTCTCATTGTTTTTTACTTATTTGTTGGGAAGTATTTGTGTGGCTGAATACAGCAACTTACCAAATGAAGAATACCAGCATGAACACATACTTTATCAAGGCAATAATTTGCTTCCTAATTGTTTGACATTAATTGGCAACTGTTTAAAGATTTTAAAAAATTAAGGCTTGGAGAAATTAGTTACACTTGTATTTAGGGTCTATGTTAAGATGGTTTTGATTAATCTATAATGATCTCAGCTATGTTTCTCCATCCTGATTTGTCAAATTGAGGGGTGCCTCTGTTGATGGCAGTGCCACAAGAACGACATAGACAGATGACTGAAGTGAAGTTCTATGTATAGTTGTCAATGTTTGGTGGAGAACCAAAAAACAGTACAAGGTAAAGCGACAATAACACTAACATAAGCAAAATATTGTGAATGCTAGAAATTTCAAACAGAAACATAAAATGCTGCAGTTCAATATGA